CACCAATAACAGCCTCTACAATATGAATAATTATTCTCAAACATACTGGATTTATACACCAACCAAACAGACCACATCGTACCATAAAATAGAAAATAACATTTACACAAGATTTGGCCAAATGTGGCTGTGAAAAGAGGGAAAGTAATCAATAGACTGATGATAACTGAAGAAACGTTTAATAATAGTTCATATGTCAAAATAAAGCTTATGATAAGAGGAACACGAATACGATTAGGTTAGTTACTTAACGATTATACAATAGGAAATATACATATTACATTGGTCCATAAATAGTTCTCAAAAGCTACCATTCACAATTCTCTTCGGGATACAACAGAATGGAATGTACATATTCGTCCAGGAATCTATGACTCTGAATGATTCTTAGTCTGGTGTTAATTAATTTCAAAATACACTTCCAATTCCACAGTTCAAATGAGATTTTTGTTACATTTATATGAAAAAAGCATTTGTACTTCTTTTTTGTCACCAAACGATGGGTTTGATCGACTCAATTACTACAAAAGTATGTTATTATTGATTAGGGATAAAATATGTTATCAAGATTAACTATTTCTGACAAAAAATTACACGTTTGAGGATTGTATATTATCATAGTTGAAAGCGTGAGTCAGTTGAAGCTAAACCACCAAGGAAAACCTGGAAGCACTGCTTGACGGCCGTTTCGTCCTATTGTGGGACTCCTCAGTAGTGCGCACCCACGACCTCGCCTCGTGAGATTCGAACCCAGGATCTCCACAAAACCCCTTCTGATTATATATTCGATAGGAAAACCATTTTTTCTTTTCAAGACCATATGGTGGTGAGAAATCCAAGTTCGGGTAGATCATTATAAATAAACATATTTTTCCCTAACTTAAGGTCACACTTCTCACATATTTTTCCCTGTATTATTGCAGTACCATGTACATACTTAGTTTATGCACACATTCTCTGAGTATTAGGCATAAAGCTTCTTACACATTCTTAGGTATCTTACTATCCCTATCAAACGTTAAGAAAAGCTTGCATTGAAAATTTTAACACTATACTATGTACTATTTCATGTGAAACCAAAAGAATTGTAAAAGTGACCATTTGTCTGTTTTTTTTAGTTTTTCAGAACATTTTTGAATCGTTGTAAAAAGTGAACTTTATTGCCAATATTACTTCAGTAAACCATTAGTCAAATTCTACCTAAAAAATAATAAGTAATTTCAATAGTTGAGATCATGAGTGAAGCTAGATCACTATGGAAAATTTGGAAGCACTGCTTGACTGCCGTCTCGTCTTATTGTGGGACTCCTCAGTAATTAATATTCTATGTAATATACTTAGCGTGACTGATATTATTGATTTACAGAATATTGTATTCCTAATAAACTCGATAATGGTTATTACAATGACTGAAATCTTTAAAAGAGTTCTACGATTCTTTTAATTATTCAAATCTAATATTTTTGTTTGTTTCATTATCCGGATTTAACCTAAAAAAATTAACTTTTGAACCAATTATTTCTATGAATCTAATGGAAAACACGTTAATTTATTTACAGCAGGAAACTTTGTACTTAACTTTTGTACTAGTTAGCACTCTATAGTGTTTCCGGACGATCACATTAATCATCTGATGGTGCACCTGAAATTAAGTCCCTTACACTAGTGTCAACATTGAAACTTGATATATAGAATTCAATTAACACTAAGTAGATGAACAAGCATGGTGTTGAAGGTACTGGGTTCGAGTCCCAGAGTGAACATCAACTCTCAGATGCAGGTACATCCAGCTGACCAGTCCGAAATAGGACAAAATGCGCATCCTGGATCCCACTGCTATCCACTATCCATATTTGCTTATAATGCTTGTGAATTAAGGCTATATCGAGGTAATACGCACAGTATGCACATATGCCAACAACACACTGATCAATTGCAGTGCTAAACATCAATGGGAACATTCAAATAAACAATACTAAGTGAATTCAAACTTCACCCCATTGCATAAGCAAGTGGCTATCAGGACTCAGTAGCTAAGTGGGAAACGCGATGGTGATTGACGCGAACGGTACTGGGTTCGAGTCTCAAAGTGAACATCAACTCTGAGATGCAGGTACATCTAGCTGACGTGTCCCAAATAGGACGAAACGCGCATCCTGAATTCCATTGTTAGCCACTAACTGTCTTTGCTTATAAAGCTTATGACTTCAGGCAATATTGAGAAAGTCCTCACTGAAGTACTATGTAACAATGTGAAGATACAGCTATACAACACCAAGTGAAAATAAATTCTAGAGTTTAGAAAACTTAGCTAAAAGTAAATTGATGATAGATGATCATCATCATCCTAATACAGAAATCGTAGTATACTCAACAACAACAACAACAAATATACAAACAATATTCTCCATGAATGTTTAACGATCAACAAAACAAAACACATTGTGATTACATACAATACTTTATTTGTATTTGTCATTTCATCTAAAAATAAAAAGGGGAGAAAAAAAAGGGGAAATATTTTTCAAAAAAAGACATTTGGTTTGTATCGTTTCCATCATCGTCATCATCAACATTCATTCATTCATTCAATGTTCAACTGGTGAAATAATTTGCATATAAATTGGTTTACATTTTAATGGATGACTTTTAACAGATTATGAATGATAGTGACCATATGATTGATTGTTTGTTTTATTTGTTTAAAATCAAATATTACTTGCTATTTAGATAAAATAATCAATGTAAAATAATGGAAATCATGAGTCAATGGAAGCTAGAACACCATTGAAAACCTAAAAGCACTGGATGGCAGTTTCATACTATTGTGAGACTCCCCAGCAGTGCTCATCCACAACCCGACTCCCAAAACTCGAACCCAGAACCTATCATTCTCGCGCGTGAGCGCTTAACCTCTAGACTACTGTAAGATATCAGCTCACTGAAGACAATGGTGGGTGGTTGCCCAATTCCTTGGATTGGTTGAAGTTAGAAATTAACACGGTTGGATGCCGGCCGGCTCAGTGATCCAGCTTCAATTGACTCATGATCTCAACTATATAAAAAAATTCATGACAATCAATATTGAAGAATCATACTGCTTAAACACTAATAAATCACCTAATATGAAATAACACAGAATGATTTGTATCATATTTCAACTAAATCAAAATTGAGTTCATAGTATTGAATAAGATTGAATACAAATGATTAGAAGATGATACTTAACCATTTAGTTGCATAGTTTAAGTGTATTCACTATTGTTATTGTTATTTTTTCTCAAAAATCTATTCATTTATTGTATCTTGACTCAAAGTTCATTTACAAATTTTATAGATTAAACGAATAATTAGTGTATAGTAAACAGTTGTATGATTGGTATTGGTTCCAATCGTTTGTATAATAACACTGTAACACATAACGTTATTTCAAAACGTACTCGGAATATTTCAATAAGGTTGGTGACATTTTATAAACATTTTTTAAATACTATTTTTTTATCTTGATAGTTGAAAGCATGACCACCAAGGGAAACCTAGAAGCACTTGACGATCGTTTCGTCCTATTATGGGACTCCTCGGTAATGTGCACCCACGATCTCGCCTCACGAGATTTGAATTCAGGACCTACCAGTCTCTCGTCAGAGCACTTAACCGATAGACCACTGAGCCGACATCTTATGGTTTTCCTTGGTCGTATAGCTTCAATTAACTCATGCTTTCAACTACGAAAATACTGAAATCTCCACCAAACCCCTTCTGACTATTTTTTTATTTTGAATTACAACTTCTTAATCAAAAACAGAACGTTAGTGTGATGAATTGTCCACTGTCGGATTTCAGTTACTGATGAAGACTCTTTTTACAGTGAACTAGCTTCTATAATCCAATTAAATCTATGATAACCGTGTATTCATTTGGAAGTGAATTTTAAAAGAATTACAGAGGTTCTTCAGAGTATTTATGATTTCTATCGTTGTAAGATCATTGTGCAATATCACAATCGAAATAAAGCTACAATGGAATACTAATGAATATCAGTTCACTGGTTAACAAGTTATGTACACATGGTATTACGTAGATATTCGAAAGTTTGATTCTCAGTAGAGTTGTAAATACATACTTTTGTGGATTTCAACGAAACATCTGTTCAGTTCTTTAAAGTTCTTGATGATACTTCAGCAAACATGACAATGTGATTTGACCTGTATACACAATAAACTAATGATCAATCCTAGTGATTAGCTTTGTTTGTTCAAAGTAATTTATAAGATTCACTTGTCCTTTTCTACCATTCAGACGAACAAACTTCGAGCAAAATTTCCAGATATACTATCTGAATAATTCTTTCCTAAAATATACTGCCAGCAGATTGATTTTAGTCTTACGATTAAGAGCCATGGGTTATGATGCTTATATACAATCTACAAAGAGAAGATTAACCATTTGATAAGCTCAACATTATCATTTCAAACGTCATCAGCACTAGATAAGGATATCTTAATTTGGTGCGTAAACGTCAATATCATGTTCTCGATTCAGTTTGGATAGTCCTTATGGGATATTTTACCGATTAATTATAACAGTCAACACATTGATAAATAGAAGCGAATTACTATAATTATCATACTCTTGAGGAAAGTTGTATTACTTTATTACTAATAACATTATGTAAAGTTTTAAAACACTAATTGATATGTCATTTATAGTGGATGTGCGCTTCTGAGGAGCCTAATTCTAGGACGAAGTGGCTGTCCAGTCCTTCTAGGTTTTCAATGGTGGCCTAACATTAGTCGATTCGTGACCTCAATCAAAGCTTAGCAATCTCTACAACCCTAGACTGTTATTTATATTAACAGTTATTCCATACGTGAACCTTTATTTCGCTGTTATGTCTAATTTCTGCTATATTATATATATTATAGAAACATGGACATTTCATTCAGTCAATAAATGTAAATTAAGATCGTCAATAAGCACCATTGGTATTGTACCGCATTATGGGCTTCAGAATAAAGCATATATTTCAGTGGAATGTCCTAAAACGCAAACTATCATATACTGCGATGGTTTGTTTTCAGTTGAGAATATCACTGAATTTCAGGTATTGATACTTATTAGTGCGCTGTCAGTTGTATCAATCACTGTCACACTAATCCTATCCGTACTGTAAGTTAAATGATGATCAAAATTATTGTTCACCAGAAAGGATGAGTTTAAAAAGGAAACATGTGTAAACATTTTCACAGTTGCATTCACGTATGTTCAATTTATACTTACATAATGTGCTTATATTTAATCATCATTTCGTTATAAATGAACATAATATTAAAATAATTTGCAATACTATGTAAGCTAAATCTATATTTACATCATTCAGATAGGTTTCAATACATTTAAAAGTGTTGTTAGTTGTCCTATTGTTGGATTCCTCAGCAGTGATCTAGAGGTTAAGCGCTCGTGCGCGAGACGGGATCGTGTATGCGAACTGTTGAGGAGTTCTACAAAAAGACGAAACGGCAGTCCAGTGGTTCCAAGTTTTCCATGATGATCTAGCTACAATTGACTCATGATTTCAACTTTTTAATATTAAAATATATACTGTCCCAACAAATCCTTTTTAACAAAGAATAATCGGTTTTACTGGGTATTTGGTTGCAGATTACTCTGAAAATGAACAAACCACTCTGAACAAGGCATGATTATATATATATATATATATGTCATCTATCAGATTAAATATGGAACATATCACCATCATTAAGAACTCGAAACTGTACTCGTCTATTTGACGATAAAAGAGTTATAAACATTACCGTAGATCCTGAGTTAGATCCACTGTTACGGGATGCACACTACTGACAAGAGCCTTAGGAGGACGACACAGTTTTTGTGTATTCTAGCTAAGTAAACGGATTTAGAACTAAGAGTTAACATTGTTTCTTTATTAACGATCACATTATTTGAATTCACTTAGTATTGTTTGTTTGAATCTCCCCATTGATGTTTAGCACTGCAATTGATCAGTCTCTTGTTGGCATATGTGCATACTGTGCGTATTACCTCGATATAGCCTTAATTCACAAGCATTATAAGCAAATATGGATAGTGGATAGCAGTGGGATCCAGGATGCGCATTTTGTCCTATTTCGGACTGGTCAGCTGGATGTACCTGCATCTGAGAGTTGATGTTCACTTTGAGACTCGAACCCAGTACCGTTCGCGTCAATCACCATCGCGTTTCCCACTTAGCTACTGAGTCCTGATAGCCACTTGCTTATGCAATGGGGTGAAGTTTGAATTCACTTAGTATTGTTTATTTGAATCTTCCCATTGATGTTTAGCACTGCAATTGATCAGTGTGTTGTTGGCATATGTGCATACTGTGCGTATTACCTCGATATAGCCTTAATTCACAAGCATTATAAGCAAATATGGATAGTGGATAGCAGTGGGATCCAGGATGCGCATTTTGTCCTATTTCGGACTGGTCAGCTGGATGTACCTGCATCTGAGAGTTGATGTTCACCCTGGGACTCGAACTCGCTTCAAACGCCATCGCGTTATCCACTCAGTTACTGAGTCCCGATAGCCACTTGCTTGTGCAATGGAGTGATGCAGATACATCTAGCTGACGAGTCCCAAATAGGATGAAACGCGCGTCCTGGATTCTACTGCTAGCCACTATCCATCTTTGATCACATTATTTATGCAACATTGATCATTATTATCCATATCTTTCAAATCAAGTTAGTCTACTTACATATTCCTAAGATTGTTATGAAGTATTCCAGTGTTCTACGCACTAAGTTATTAAATATATACAAATAACAACAAATACTTATTAATTATAATGTTGTTTTTTCAGCATGATTGGCACTTTTCTAGGAGTGATGTTGGTTATTTTACGGAATATGAGAGAAACATATCCTCTGAATATAATAATGTTAATTTTATACGTGAGAAACCATTATTTCACTGATAATCATTTATTACTTATAATAATTATATCTTTCCGACCGATATGACTGTAATCTTGAACCATAATTAACAACAGAAACCAGTATATATTGATTGAATGTACATATCCGTCTACTGACCCTTTCTAGGTGTTACTAGATCAGTTAATAAACATTTAAATGGTCAGGGAAATATGGTCGGGCAATCATAGACATATCATATATTACATAGTATTCTGTAACATTGGTGTTGACTTCATCATGATCAGCAGCAACTTTCATAAAGCGACAAAATTTCTGCTTGAAGAATGAAACTATCTCTTAGAAAATTGATGATTGTTTGTCAATCGAGGTATCTGTTGATTGCAAGTGTGTGTTGAATTTAGCTGTGGTGTATTCACAGTACACTAAAATAAAGACACAACAGAATTCAAGAGCACTTTAATGCATGTGTAAACCTACAAAGTTTTAAATGTAACATGGGACTTAAGATGTCTCTAGTTGTCTAGACATCCCTGAGAAATAACCAGTTTTACTATATGACTCTACCACAGTACATCTACTATACAATCAACTGCCTTACTGAAATACAATTAACCAAAGGTATCTGGTAATAAAGGAATGAATGCTACAGACATAGCAGGTGTCGATCTAAACAATTTCGAAGTTAAAAGGAAATATTCTTGAAGAACTCTCTTTATTATTTACTAAAGATAATCAAAGCTAGATAATTTCAGCATTTTGACAGATTTTGTGAGCTCAGTTTTGCATGTGTTGGTAACAACTCACATAGATAGATGAGTGCATAAATTATTTGATAATGATACATTCATGATGCCCCAATGAGCAGCAGTTAGATATTATGACTTTTCGCTGATTAGTTCAAGTCTAGATAGTTCAGAGGAATAAAATACAATATTTAGTTCAGTAATAATCAAAACATTTCATCAAGCCCATATCATTGAATTATTCAGTCAACATGGTTCTGCGCGAGACAGCATTGAGTGGATTTGTGTGTGTGCTAGCCAATGTCATAAATGTACCCTTATCTATTTGAAACATACATTTTATAACTATCCCATACACCTTCTGAAAAATATCTAACAGATGCTTTTTAATTTCTACATAGGGAGCGTGTATTTCTGTAGCTCAAGGATACTCTATCATCAATGTATGTGTTCTAGTAAAAGTCGGAGCATGGGCTATTGCTTTCGTGTTGCTTTCAATTTTGGTTCCGATAGGTATGGTTATAAAGACTGACTTAAGTAAATATACAAGTACATTAGTCATTTACTTTGCTGCTGGACTTTTCATAATTACGGCGGTATTTACCGGTCTGATGATAGCAGGTCACAAAAAGGTAAGTCATTCTAAATCCTAAAAAAAATTTATTAATCTCAGACTTTTATGCATACTCATTAATTGATCATAAATTCCTGTAACATGATATTTCATTGTATTTTATGTTTCACAGGTGGCTTTGGTTGTTCTTATGGCCGGGGTACTGGCCATATTGATTCCTGTGAGTTTCTAGTCTATATTTTGCAAATTGATTTAAAACGATACAAGTCATGAGTGAGAGTAATAAGTTGTTCATTTACTTATATCATATTGACTATAAAATTGACAACTATGTAGTTTGATTGATAGTTATATCTATTTCAAGAAATTGTATTTTTGGAGTTGTATCTGATGTCTAGTGCGTTTGTGATGGGCTAGTATAAATCAAGTACCTTGTTTCTTGATGGATATTTGAAGGTCTCTGAAAGTGTTCAGTAAATCTTGTCTATTAGCAGGAATATCCTAAGCATTCCGATATGTATTTAAACAAATTTTGATTACTGGGTATTCATTGGTTTTTATTACGACACATTCGATTCAGTGACAAGTTAGAACACTGATCTTTCAGAAAACATGTTCATGCAATGTTCCTTATACCACGGTTTTTCAAGTTTGAGGTGTTTGTTTTCTGAGCTGGATTGTTTAATTCTGAAGCTTTCATTGTTCTTCTAAATAAATTCAGCCTCGAGCTCCTTAAAAAATGTTGGCGTTCAGAATTTCTCCACAGTGACTAACAACTGGTTCTGTTGATCTAAAATTCAATAAAAACTATTGATTATCAGGGTTTATAGGTTACCATACGGTATTTACAAATTAAAGAACTTTGAGGGTTTCTGATTCCAATAGTTCAATTGTCGACTTGATATTGGAGTTTGGCAGACAACATTTTAGCAGTAAGGTCTCAACACAAGAAAAATACAAAATTTCAGAGAAATATGATATTTAAACGGAACAACTTGAAATGATACAGACCAATATATTTAGTAAAGAAAGCATGCATTTCTCTACCATACAGAAAATTAGTGAACCATATGTAGTGGCAACAAATTAGAAAAAGGCGAAGGTCGAGTAAAAAATTTGGTTAGTAAAAATGCTTTTGTGGTTACCGCTTCTAGTAAGACATTAGTACTGTTCAACTGTTCAACTCTGTGATTGTCTTAATGGTTATGAATACTGTATGGTCATATCTGAGTGTTTGTAATGAACTTTTCCCTTTTGACCTAAACTCGTACCTTGCAGCTTTTGCCAACATCATTTACTAGTTTGTAGATTTAGTCGATCTCGTCATATCTATGGACTTGTACATGATCAGATTGTCAGATTTCTAAGAATCCTCTGGTTTTCTTTATGTTTCCTCCGTCCAACATTTAAACAATCTCTTGGTCAAACTAATGTCCATAATCGTTTTCATGCGTTGATATCAGAGAAGCTGAGTTGTGGCACTTATCAGCGAACTGGTGTTCATGTAGACTTAAATGAAGGTTCGGGGACTTTCTCCTGTTTTGTTGCCTCGTTAAATGTAGTTTATCCCGTAGATAATGTTTGGCTTATCTTTGTTTGTCACTGTGTCCTTTTATTCCTAGTAGTCATAATAAGCAGTATAGTCTCTGAGATGTTTCCATGTAGGGTAAAATGATCCGTTTGTTAATTTTTCTTCCATAGGTTTGGTAGTTGATGTTCTATTTGATAGATATTTCTCGATTATGTTTTGTGATTATCGATCCTACCGAAGTTCATCCAGTAGGTACTTTCTTTCAATTTTCCTTGTAATGGTTGTGTTGTATTGTGTTTTTATTCTTTTAGAAATTATTTTAATGTAACTTTTAACTTACTAGGTTGGTGCTACTATAATTTAATGTTTATTAGGTGTGTAATGCTTATCAATATATGCCAGTTTTCCTGTACTGATCCAAAATGAAAGATCGTCGTATCCTTTCTTTTCTGATGTGAATTCTATGTCTCCAAAGACGTTATTGATTAAATATCAGCATTTTCCAGCTGATCTCATTTGATAATATCAAACGTGTTGTCTACACAATGTATTCGAATTTTCGGTTTTATCATCGGTAAGACTTGAGTTTCTAGCTTCTGTATAACAGGTTCTGCAATTAATCCAGATATCCGTGATCCTAATTGATTTTATTTTGTTCGTCCACAAATTTTTTGGTTTAGCCCAGAATATGTTGTTAGACATGAATCTATGAAATTAATAAGGCTTTGACTTTCGAAATTGCTGCATTTTTAAATAATAATATCAATGAAGAGCAGTAGGGTTCTGGTAGATTTACTTCAACTGATGTATACAACGTAGTAACATCAAAAGAAATCAATTTGTTATTGGCGATTTGAATATCTTTCATTTTATCCAAGGATTGTGTTAAACATTTGACAGAGTAATCTAATGAGTTCACATATTTCAACATCATTGACATTTCTGCTGAAATAATATATGTCCTTGAAAGTGTAATGACTTTTTGTAATGTTCCGCCCGTGCAATTTCGATCAACCATAACATTGAGAAATAAGCAGTCTATTTGATTTCCTTAGCTTGTTAATCATTTATCTTCGATTAGTCTTTTTTAGAGTACGATAGATATAGCCGTATAGTTTTGGATGGAATTAGTTTTCATTTGTTGGTATACATTATCGTCTTTGAGTAACCTCTTATAGTTCCATATGTCGTCCTTTCACTCATGACTATTGTGGTGCCTTCCTTCTTAGGAGGGATCATGATTGTATTCTTCCTCGTTTTCTGTTTACGTAGAGCCTTCCGTTTTAACACCTTTAGTCGAAAGCAGCCTTCCTTACATCAACCGAAGAACACTATCACTTGTATTATTAGTTGTTGAGTTTCTTCATTTAGTCTTGATGTTTTATATGATGAATTCAGCGGTATGAAGAATCTCAGCATCGAAAAATCTGATGTATTGTAATTCACTCTTTTCTGAACCAGACGTTCTATTACCTTAGTCGAAGGTCGTTTTAATAAGGTTGCTACACAGTCGTTTGTTTCTACTTCTGTACTTTACATGTTTTACATAATTCAGATCAATTATAATCTTTCGTTTTACATTCTTTTTTCAGATTGCTATCGATTTCGGACAGCTTACATTTGGTACAAATTTCAGTTATACTTTCTATCGGGATTACTGCATGGCATCATTAGCTTTATTCACTACGCTATTGGCATTTTTTGTTACCAGCAGTGTAGAAGTTCATTTGATTGAGCAGTTAATCAAAAATAAACTTCTATAAATGTATCTTTAAAAGCATCAATACATATATATATTAGTTGATTTAATACTTAATTATCATAACCACATGGCTCATATGCTTTCACAACCAAGATTCATTAAAGTAAACAAACGTAAACCCTTGTGTTCTATCATTCAGACTTTTGATGGTGAAAGGCATCGTCAAGTATCATATAGACTGTAGTTATTTAGCTGAAATTTAGTGTCATTGGTTGAAACATAAAACATTTAGAAGAATATTTTAAAGAATAAATGGGCTTGATTTCAGTCATGAAACCGTCATGAACTCATTCTTTATTAGGATATATTTAATTAGAAAGTTTAGATTATACATAGATGAATAGACTGCAGGTTACAAAAGATTAGGATGAATAATTCCAGGTTTCTTTTTTCGAAAATTTAACTATAAGTAGATTTTATATTATTTAAACACATAAATATTGGTAAAAACGGGCACAAGATATGTATGCGCCACACAAATCTCATTTGATTTGTGTGAGGGCTGTGATACTACTCAGGTGCCCAAACCGAAGCAGGTGGTTTCCTTAGGGGACCAAACCTGGAGCTTTTGACCTAAAGGTCCGATCCACAAGGCAATGAAACAACATCATGAGATGCAGTCCCATAGTAGCAGGTGACCGACGATTGATTCATACACCATTTGTTCCGTCAGGATACTGGAGCCCATGTGCGTCATTGGTTTGGAATCAGGGTTTTTCAACTCACCTAGGTGGACGCGCCGTGTCCACCAACCCGGTTAATTTGCCGGACATTCGTTTTTTGTCCTCTCAATTTCGTAAGCAACACCTCGGCCGTACCAGGGCATTTGGGGGCGTTACAAATTAATATCACCATACCTAATCATATGTAATTTAGATAAAAAACTGGTTAAAAATTGGAGCATTATAGATTAGACGCTGAATGAGATTACAACGGCTTCTCTTAATTCTTGACATTTTGAAGTTGACTAACTTAGATTAGATGATCATGTATCATCATTCTCCCAAGGACTAATTAATCTAAATTATACATGTCCATATTCTGTCTAACTCCGCCTGTAGCTCCTCTAGGGGCTACTGCCGGTCCCAAGCCCGGGTAAAGGAGGAGGGTTGGGCATGGGGTTAGCGACCCCATCCCGTAGAAAATCAACTCGCTAAAAAAACGCTAACCGGAAAAATTCATTCAAACCATTCAAACTCTGCCCTGGGAGTAGAAGGAAAAATGACGTCTCATGATGAAAGCCGAGTTCCTTCGGAAGTCATGAGGCCGATGCACCTTCTTACAACCAGAGCGACAATTTTTATAGGTACATGGAATGTCCGGACAATGTGGGAGACCGGCAGAGTCTTCCAAATTTCTGCGGAAATGAGGAAATACAACCTGGAAGTGCTTGGAATCAGTGAAACACATTGGACGCAGGTTGGACAACAACGACTGTCTTCAGGGGAACTTCTGTTATACTCCGGTCATGAAGAAGAAAATGCCCCACATACACAAGGAGTGGCACTGATGCTGTCTAGAAAAGCACAAAATGCACTTATAGGATGGGAATCTCATGGACCAAGGATCATCAAAGCCTCCTTCAGAACAAAGAGAGAGGGCATTACAATGAACATCATCCAATGCTATGCGCCGACCAACGACTACGATGAAGACGCTAAAAACCAATTCTACGATAGGCTGCAGTCAATCTTCGAGAAGTGCCCAACCAAGGACCTGACCATTCTAATGGGAGATTTCAATGCCAAGGTTGGAAAGGACAACACTGGATACGAAGACGTCATGGGACAACATGGACTGGGAGAAAGGAACGAAAACGGTGAGAGATTTGCAAACCTATGTGCCTTCAATAAACTGGTCATAGGTGGCACCATATTCCCACACAAAAACATACACAAAGCCACTTGGATTTCACCGGATCACACTACACAGAATCAAATCGACCATGTCTGCATCAACAAAAAGTTCAGGAGGACGATGGAGGATGTGAGAACCAGAAGAGGAGCTGATATAGCATCCGATCACCATTTGCTGGTCGCCAAGATCAAACTAAAACTCAAGAAGCACTGGACAATGGCGCGGACAACATCACAAAAGTTTAACACGGCCTTTCTTCGAGATGCTGACAAACTCAACGAATTTAACATAGCCCTCAGCAACAGGTTCCAGGCCTTTCATAACCTACTCAATGAAGAGGGAACGACCATAGAGAGCAGCTGGAAAGGTATCAAGGAGGCAATCGTTTCAACATGTCAGGAGGTTCTGGGCCAAAAGAAGCACCAAAACAAGGAATGGATCACTGTTGGTACACTGGATAAAATTGAAGCAAGGAGGAACAAGAAGGTAGCAATCAATATCAGCCGAACCAGAGCAGAAAAAGCCAAGGCACAAGCCGAATACACAGAGGCAAACAAGCAAGTGAAGAGGAGCATCAGGACCGACAAACGTAAATATGTGGAAGATTTAGCGATGACAGCGGAAAAGGCTGCAAGAGAGGGAAACATGAGACAACTGTATGATACAACAAAGAAACTTGCTGGAAATTACCGTCAACCAGAAAGACCAGTGAAAAACAAGGAAGGCAAAGTAATCAACGATATTGAAGAACAACGAAACAGGTGGGTAGAACACTTCAAAGAACTCTTGAATCGACCAGCTCCACTGAACCCACCCAACATCGAAGCAGCACCCACAGACCTCCCAATCGATATTGGCCCACCAACAATTGAAGAGATCAGCATGGCCATTAGACAAATCAAGAGTGGCAAAGCAGCGGGACCAGACAACATCCCGGCAGAGGCACTGAAAGCAAATGTAACAGCAACTGCCAAGATACTCCACATCCTCTTCGGTAAGATTTGGGACGAAGAACATGTACCAACAGACTGGAAAGAAGGACTTCTGATCAAGATACCAAAGAAAGGCGATCTGAGCAAGTGCGACAACTACAGAGGCATCACTCTCCTCTCAATACCAGGAAAAGTCTTCAACAGAGTATTGTTAAACAGGATGAAGGATTCCGTGGACGCTCAACTTCGAGATCAACAAGCTGGATTTCGTAAGGATAGATCGTGCACAGATCAAATCGCAACTCTACGTATCATTGTGGAACAATCAATCGAATGGAATTCATCACTGTACATCAACTTCATCGACTACGAGAAGGCATTTGATAGCGTGGACAGGACGACACTGTGGAAGCTTCTTCGACACTACGGTGTGCCTGAGAAGATAGTAAATATCATACGGAACTCCTATGATGGACTAAACTGCCAAATCGTCCACGGAGGACAACTCACCGACTCGTTCGAGGTAAAGACCGGTGTTAGGCAAGGTTGCCTACTCTCACCCTTTCTCTTTCTCCTGGTGATCGACTGGATTATGAAGACGTCAACATCTGGAGGAATGAACGGGATACAGTGGACAGGCAGGATGCAGCTTGACGATTTAGACTTCGCGGATGATCTGGCTCTTCTATCACAAACGCAACAACAAATGCAGGAGAAAACGACCAGTGTAGCAGCAGCCTCAGCAGCAGTAGGTCTCAATATAAACAAAGGGAAAAGCAAGACTCTCCGATATAATACAATATGCACCAATCCAATTACACTTGACGGAGAAGCTTTGGAGGATGTGGAAATCTTTACATATCTGGGCAGCATCATTGATGAACACGGTGGATCAGATGCAGATGTGAGGGCGAGGATCGGCAAAGCAAGAGCAGCATACCTACAGCTGAAAAACATCTGGAGCTCAAAACAATTGTCAACCAACACCAAGGTTAGAATTTTCAATACAAATGTCAAGACAGTTCTTCTGTATGGGGCAGAGACGTGGAGAACTACGAAAGCCATTATCCAGAAGATACAAGTGTTTATTAACAGCTGTCTACGCAAGATACTTCGGATCCGATGGCCAGACACTATCAGCAACAAGTTACTGTGGGAGAGAACAAACCAGATTCCAGCGGAGGAAGAAATCAGGAAGAAGCGCTGGAAGTGGATTGGGCACACTTTGAGGAAATCACCCAATTGTGTCACAAGACAAGCCCTCACATGGAATTCTGAAGGTCGAAGGAGAAGAGGAAGACCAAAGAACACATTACGCCGAGAAATAGAGACAGACATGAGAAGAATGAACAAGAACTGGAAAGAACTAGAAAAGAAGGCCCAGGACAAAGTGGGTTGGAGAAAGCTGGTCGGCGGCCTATGCTCCATTGGGAGTAACAGGCGAAAGTAAGTAAGTAAGTATATTCTGTCTACAAGTGGAGAAGACTAACTTGACTAACTTTCATTTGAGGTGGGGAAATCATTTTGAAGAATTTATATAAGTCAAGAGTCGACTGTCAGTATTATTATTACTGTTGCTGCGAGAAGTTGTACGTGTAATAAAGCACAGAAAAATGCTATTTCGGAAGCATTATTCCAACTGATATGTTGTATAAACGCACAAAACTTTACTACATTGGCTTTAGCTTGTTATCATCAGACTGTAAATAAGGCTACCAAAAGCTTTACTACCGTTATCATGGTAAATTGCGATACTTTATTCAATTTCAGTATACATTCAATAAACTATAATATATATTGTCTTCTGTATACTACTCAAGACTTCAGACTCTGTGCCAGAACTAAACTGGAAGTGTATTTTACACTTGTAGTGAACGAACACTCAACTGGGGAAGACCGCTTTGTTAGTTAATACAAAATTACAGAATGTCTTCATAAAGTACGCAAACCATATATTAAATACTTCATATTGTACAACTCCCATCAATCGTCTCTTATAAACTTCATCGTTCCTTCATTCATGTTGTTATCACAGTTACTCTCTGTTTACATTGCTATTCTATTCGAATCAATCTCCTCAACTTTTCACTGGTGGGCATTTCACTTCTACTTATGTCTGTTAACATAAGCACCACAAACTCTCAATCTATCTTACGCATAGAGATTATCGATTTTTTGATTACTTTATTCCAATGAACTTAAAGAACCTTTCTTTATAAATATGTGTTGTATCACGAAGAGAATTGTGAACGGTAACTTTGCGGACTGACGAGTACTCAAGACTGATCATACGGCTTTTTTGTATCATAGCTCAGATCGACAATTCGCTCTTCTCTCATTGGCGGGAATCAGCACGTTCATATATCAAACAGGGCACGCACGCACTCACTCAATCGATATAACAATATACATACTAATCTGTATTATAAGCAAAAATGTATAGTGGCTAGTAGTGGGATCCAGGACACATGCTTCGTCTTATATGTGACTCATCAGCTGGATGTATCTGCATCTCAGAGTTGATGTTCACTCTGGGACTCGAACTCGCTTCAAACGCCATCGAGTTATCTACTCAGCTACTAAGTCCCGATAGCCACTTGCTTGTGCAATAGGGTGAAGTTTAAATTCACTTAGTATTGTTTGCTTGTATCTATACAGAAATCCTTTACTTAGTTTTGATTATTTCATACCTAAACTGTTCGTTCACTTATACTGTATCCATTATTCATTATTTATCGATAGAACATCATGTGAGTATTGTTTTTTTTTCATTCAACTTGATCTGTATTGATTCGATTTCTTTTCTTAAAAATATTTTCATATGTGTAAATGAAATACTACGATTGTTTGTTTGTTTGTTTGTTTTCCATTATGTTACTGTTTCTTGTATAAAGGAATCAAATGGAAATGATCCGTCTTATCTATTGAAGTGAAATAAGGATACACATTTCTTTCGTAGTATAGTTTGTTGATTCTTTCCCATTTGTTTCCAATATCTCGATTAATATGGTAATTAAATGTGTTTATTTTGTTTCTTTTTATAAGGGAAAATCTCTACACTTACATTAAGGGATAAGAATTATTATAACTTTGATTAGATGAAAGGCGTTTTAATGAAAATCGAATTTTCTAATAGTCAACCATTGTTTTTCATTTATCTATAGTTAAAGATATGTCAGTGGTAATATCCTGAGTGTCATTCTGTTATATGATTGGAAGTAGTCAGCAAGAAAATCTATTTCACCTAGGTCTTTGGTTGGTTAGCACTCATCAGTAAGGTAAGACTACAGTCTTCAGAATGTTGTAGTTTTTCATGGGATTCACAGCCACGTCACACAGTTTCATAGTTTATGACATTGTCAATGAGTGAATCAGTCCCCATAAGTCTTTTCATTATAAATAACATGAAATCACTAAAATACGATCATCATTAAACAAATTTTAGAAGTGAACCAAGTAGAACAATTATATGAACGAAGAATATTCTTTTCAATAATTTCTCATCAGGTTCTACAATTATAAATTAATAATCCATAAAAGAAGATTGGCCAAGTTTAAGGCAGAGTACATCAATTGAAGAAACTGTAATATGTGAATCAAGGATTGTTTGTCATATAAAATAAAATAAGATCGAATCGTTAATGTTTTTGGGATGACTAATATGAAGTGTTAACTTGAATCAGTTTATAGGTGAATTAAAATCGTAAGATAAATTATCAGAATATATATAGTTGACATGGGGGTGAGAGATAGAACAATGGGATTACAAATCGGAAATTACGTAATATGTAGAATTATATAAATTAGGTCAGATATAGTAGATAGGGGGTGGATGATAAATAAATTTCTATAAAAGGTTAGCAGGTGTGATAATAATAATAAAGATAATAATAAGAATAAGAATAATGACTGATAAGATGTGTAGATAAGACTAAGATATAGAAATGAACATTAATCAAATTAATGTCACCTTATTACAAAATTGATTATTAACAAGTTGACCCTGAAGTTGGCCAGGGTAAAAGGAGTGGCTGTACATATTTCTTTTGGATGCAGAGCTCTGGCTTTTTGATCCGAATAGCAATTGCCTCAGCCGTCTGCAGGATTCTCTGTCTGACAGAATTAGGTAGACTGCTATTTACACGATATATTACTGTGAAAGATTGCTCAATGTCGGCTCTATGTCCCGTCTGAACTAAATGGGCTAAAACAGAGCTGTTAACCGTTCTGACTACACCTTTGCTTAACCACACTGGAAGGTGTTCACGAGCCCGAGTATACAAATTCCTAGAACATCTGCCTATATAACTTGCTCCACAGGAGCAGTTGAATTGATAGATACAGAAAGAAGTGGCTAGTCTAGGCAATTTATCTTTCAATGTCGGCGTGATCATTGGGCGTGTGGAAAACATTAGTTGTAGTTTACCTGCATTAAAAGTCCTTTCGATTGATCTTCGTAGTTTCAATCTTACCATTTCACCAGGTGCGTCACCTCTGAATTGTAGACGTATATAAAGATCAGACAAGAAACATATCCAACTTCTCAAAAGCCTGGAGAACCAAGCGGTTGAAAATAAATTTCCGACTGAACCGAAAAGGTATGTGTATAATTTTTCCAATAAAGAATTAAATAAAGAAAAACTTGAAGTATTAGCACTAGGTCTAAAATTTTGTGATACACGAAACCGCGTAAACCATATGGATACGGACATCCAATTTGAAAACCTAAATCGTCAGACATCCGATCTAGTCCCAACCTCGGATCTGGAACTTGAACGTTTCAAAGCGAGCATCGTTGAATGTTGCTATCAGTTTAAGAATAGTAGATATAATTACAGAAGTATTTTGACTAAAAAACATAAGGAGGCTATCAGTGAACTTATTAATGACGAGAACCTGATTATCACAAAACCTGACAAGGGAACAGGAACTGTCTTACTTAATAGAAATGACTACATTGACAAGATGAATAACATCTTGAATGATCACCGAAAATTTCAGAAATTGAATAACCAAAAAGATGTCAATATTAAGATAGAAAATGAACTGACCAGGTCTTTAAAAAAGCTCAGAGATCAACAGATAATTCCACCAGACATATATGAATCAATCAGGCCGACAGGTACTCATTTACCTAGGTTATACGGACTACCGAAGGTACATAAACCTGATATCCCATTGAGACCAATTTTAGACATGTACGATTCTCCTTACCATACGGTAGCAAAGTGGTTAGTGACCGTTTTAAAACCACTTCACAAACAACTAGTAAAGCACAGTGTTAAGGATGTATTCCAATTCGTCGAGAAGATTAAAAACATAAACACCAAAGGTCTAAAGATGATGTCCTTTGACGTAACGTCATTGTTCACAAATGTACCACTCAGAGAGACTGTAGAATATATTTGTGAACAGCTTAGAGAACAGGAAGTAGTAACTACAGTCCCTGTGGAGACCATCAAAGAATTGCTACTAAAATGTACTATGAATGTACATTTCAAATTCAATGGTGAAATCTACAGACAAATAGATGGGGTCGCGATGGGTTCACCCCTAGGTCCCATATTGGCTGATATTTTTCTCGCGAAACTAGAAAACGGCCCACTCACACGACAGATTGAAAAGTTTTCACTTTATTGCCGATATATGGACGACACGTTCATCCTATGTAACGACTATACTGACTTAATGCAGACACTACAGCTATTCAATACAGCCCATCCGTCTATTAACTTCACATGTGAGGAGGAAAATGGAGGTAGGATCGCTTTTCTAGATGTTCTCCTTACAAAGAGAGAAGACGGTTCATTAAGGAGAAATATAAACAAGAAAAAATCGTGGACGGGTCAGTATACTAACTTTCTTAGTTTTGTTCCTCTACAGTACAAAAGGAACCTAATTAAGACATTACACTATAGAATTAAGACCATATGCTCTGAAGATACGGTCGAGGAAGAAACAAAAGCATTATATAGGACCCTGAGAGAAAATGGATACCCGGAGAAATTTATAAATAAAAACATTACTAATAAAAGAGACCATAAAGAATGTTTAATTGTGAATAAAAAACCTCTGTATATACGTCTACAATTCAGAGGTGACGCACCTGGTGAAATGGTAAGATTGAAACTACGAAGATCAATCGAAAGGACTTTTAATGCAGGTAAACTACAACTAATGTTTTCCACACGCCCAATGATCACGCCGACATTGAAAGATAAATTGCCTAGACTAGCCACTTCTTTCTGTATCTATCAATTCAACTGCTCCTGTGGAGCAAGTTATATAGGCAGATGTTCTAGGAATTTGTATACTCGGGCTCGTGAACACCTTCCAGTGTGGTTAAGCAAAGGTGTAGTCAGAACGGTTAACAGCTCTGTTTTAGCCCATTTAGTTCAGACGGGACATAGAGCCGACATTGAGCAATCTTTCACAGTAATATATCGTGTAAATAGCAGTCTACCTAATTCTGTCAGACAGAGAATCCTGCAGACGGCTGAGGCAATTGCTATTCGGATCAAAAAGCCAGAGCTCTGCATCCAAAAGAAATATGTACAGCCACTCCTTTTACCCTGGCCAACTTCAGGGTCAACTTGTTAATAATCAATTTTGTAATAAGGTGACATTAATTTGATTAATGTTCATTTCTATATCTTAGTCTTATCTACACATCTTATCAGTCATTATTCTTATTCTTATTATTATCTTTATTATTATTATCACACCTGCTAACCTTTTATAGAAATTTATTTATCATCCACCCCCTATCTACTATATCTGACCTAATTTATATAATTCTACATATTACGTAATTTCCGATTTGTAATCCCATTGTTCTATCTCTCACCCCCATGTCAACTATATATATTCTGATAATTTATCTTACGATTTTAATTCACCTATAAACTGATTCAAGTTAACACTTCATATTAGTCATCCCAAAAACATTAACGATTCGATCTTATTTTATTTTATATGACAAACAATCCTTGATTCACATATTACAGTTTCTTCAATTGATGTACTCTGCCTTAAACTTGGCCAATCTTCTTTTATGGATTATTAATTTATAATTGTAGAACCTGATGAGAAATTATTGAAAAGAATATTCTTCGTTCATATAATTGTTTTAATATGATGGGAATTTTTCAGCGATTAAAATCTTGTGATGAACCAAGTAGGTTTGATATATTGGTCTACAAAACTAGATTATATTTCAGAACTATGCATTAAGAAAGATTCATTCTAATTAACGATAAAATAGCTAGTGTGTTTGGAAGGCTTATAACAGTAGTTTTGATATTAATTGTATTCCATGTTAGTATATTGGAAGCTTTGGAGGATGTGGAAACCTTTACATATCTGGACAGCATCATTGATGAACACGGTGGATCTGATGCAGATGTGAGGTCGAGTATCGGCAAAGCAAGAGCAGCATATTTACAAGTGAAGAATATCTGGAACTCAAAACATTTGTCAACCAACACCAAGATCAAAATTTTCAATACAAATTTCAAGACAGTTCTACTGTATGTGGCACAGATGTGGAGAACTACAAAAGCTATCATCCAGAAGATACAGGTGTTTGTTAACAGTTGTGTACGCAAGATACTTCGGATCCGTTGGCCAGACACTATCAGCAACAAGTTACTGTGGGAGAGGACAAAGCAGATTCCATCCAGCGGAGGAAGAAATCAGGAAGAAGCGTTGGAAGTGGATAGGACACACTTTGGGGAAATCATCCAACTGCGTTACAAGACAAGCTCTCACATAGAATCCTGAAGGCCAAAAGAGAAGAGGAAGACCAAAGAGCATATTACTCCGGGAAATGGAGACAGACATGAGAAGAATGAACAAAAACTGTATAGAACTAGAAAGGAAGGCCCAGGACAGAGTGGGTTGGAGAATGTTGGTTGGCGGCCTATGCTCCATTGGGAATAACAGGCGTAATTAAGTAAGTCAGTAATGTTAGTATATTGCGGAACATCAAGATAAAAGTAATTGAAGTATCTGTAAGTAATGGATACTTTCTCCAAACAATTAAATGACGCCAAATTAAATATGAAAATGATTGTTTTCAATAATTTGATCTTTTAAGACTGAATCCAATGTGAGAATATTATCAAACATATTATGTAATAACAAATAAAGAACTTGGTAAGCTTGATAACAGACTGAACTTGAAAATAACACATGCATAGCATAGTGAACATGAACACAATTGAGGACAATCGAATCTATTTGAGCACAAAATTACAGAATATTCAAGTAAAATATGAGAACCATATTGTAAATAGGTAATTTGCAAAATAACAATTCATCGTCTCAAACTTGACTTTTGTTTTTGCAAATATCAGCCCATTGTCTCCGATTTCATTGTTCATGCATTTTCATACCAATCGCATTCCATTTCCTTTCTATTCTTTATCGATTTTCTACTGAAATACATTCCATACCTGTCCACTGTTGCATACTGCTTCTATGGATAAAAGTAACCCACACCACAATAATATGGCATATAACAGTTCGTAGTTCTATACTGTCTGTGTATTAGGTGAACATTATACGAGTGTTTTAAACTAGGATAAAAAAGACTGCTAAGTGATTTTTGATTTTCAGTAGTTGTGTTCCCGATCTTATTGATAAATACTTGAAGTAAGAAATCAATACAATTCTCATGATACGAACTAGGAATACAAATAAATGATAAAAATAAAGATAGGTCCTGGGTTCAAATCTCACGAGGCGGGATCATTGGTGCACACTGCTGATGAGTTCCACAATAGGACGAAACG